AGTGGTAATATGGATGTAGTGATGTGTATAGTAGCGTTTCCTTTGGGGGTGTGGGGAGGGAGGGGGTAGGGGGAAGAAAGAGAATTAAATGAAAGACTTAAATATTTACTTAAAAAATCAGGTATAAATTCGCCATATATCGTAAAGAAACAATCACTGACAAAAAAAAAAAAAAAGATTTAGCAAATTTTAATTAGCTCTCGTTTTATTTATGACAACTGACTATGCGTTGCCATCTTTTCGGAGACAAATCATATTTAAATACTAAAAACAAAACGGAAAAAAAAAAAGAAGTGTGAATTTCAGCGTTTTAAAAGAAACAACTCCATAAAGGAAACTAACCTTCTGGCTTCTGGCTCACAAACTTTCTTCAGGAAATACCTGTGGAGAACGACAGTTTAGCAAATACCACACAACAGTTAATTGAAACTTGGAGTTGTGCAATGCACTAACATTGGATCATTAAAATAGCTCGATCGCATGTTCGTTTAAAGGTGACTAGTGAGGAGTTTAAGCAGAAGCCAAACAATGTAAATATGGTAATTTTGTTGTTGTCTACTCTAAATGTCACGAGCTCTACTTTGTCGCCCAGTCGACATATGCAAAGAATGGAGAGTTGTTCGGAGTTATTTTAAATATCTATAAATATATATATTTCCCTGCAGGAACCAAAGCGTGGAAAAAAAAGCAATTTAAAAAAGAAAAGAGGAAAAAAAGGAAAATATTTAAAATTCTATATCAGTTTACAAAGGATACGGTGTTCTATCGTTAAGGTAATTTGCTGTTGAGAATATCTGAATGTATATTTCATACAGGAACGGTGTTTTACAAGACTTGTAAATAATAAAAAAAGAACCCATGACCTATTTTGTTTGAATGCTTTTTTTTTTTCCTGTTTTTTTGTTCCTTTGGGGCTAAAGGGTGTGGGATTTCTTTACATGTGCAACAAAGTGGTGATAAGAATGTTTTTTGATTAATAAATTTACCAAATGGATGTAATTTCTTTGACACGGTTCACAAAATGCAATATCTTTATATGACATCACTGTTTTCAATATGTATCATCTATATGTATATACAGTTTTCTTTTAATATGCGAACGTATTTGGTTGCATGTATACAGTGGAACAGCGCACAAGGAAAATAAAAAAATGGAAACTTTATATTTTTACTCTGGTGTTACGTTACTGCATGTTCTTTTATCCGATGTAACTCTGGGACACGAAATTCCTCATGACCTTGTTCAGTCATTTGGGGCGAATTATTCTTCTTTTGTGAACTTCGCCGTTAAATCTTCTGCTCTGGAGTTAACAAGTGAACCTAGGCTTGTTCAAGCATCGTTTCAGCGGGTCACAGGAAAAGGAAAATGAAGCATGTTCATAGCTCGCTATGCGTTAGGCCTTTTCCCTATCCTGCCAACACAGGTCCTATGCTCGAGGGTTTGATGTGACATTGCTGTTTGCTCCCCGCCACACACGTCCAGGAGAACTGCTCAGGAAATGTCTGCGGTGTCGGTAGCGTTTGGGGCAGATTTTATAAGCCTGGCACCAAAGGGAAGGTCCAAGCCAGCCCATGGATGTGGCCAGAAGTGTGAGAGCCCTAAGAAAACTGTTGTCTTTGAAAAAAAAAAAAAAAAAGAAAAAATCTGCATGGTAGTGTGGTGGAAATGGACTGTTTGAAATTGTCCTTGATCTCCAAAGCAGGGAGAGGGTGGGGTG